TTAACAGTGTTACTTAGCTGTGTACCACTATTTTTTTGTTTTTTTTTTATCATTAAATCTATTTTAACAGTATTACTGAGCTGTGTACCACTATTTTTTCGTTTTTTTTTATCATAAAATTTTTTTAACAGTGTTAGTGACTATGACTGTGTACTATTTCTTTTAATGATAAAAAATTTTTTAACAGTGCTCCTGAGCTACACAATTTTTTTTCGTCCAAAATTTTTTTTTTTAATGTTATTAGGCTTTGTGCCACATTTTTTTTTTTAGTAACAATCTTATTTAAAAATTTAATTTGATGTCTTGGGATGTGATTCTCTCTTATTAATAACAATTGTTGACCCCAAAAGTTTGCTTCTATATGCTGATGTTCTCTACATTTACAGTCGCAATATTTTTTTTATTTTTTTGCTATACTCTATTACAGTTCATAGAAAGGGATTTACTGTGGGTGGTTTTGTAAATATTGTATATAAATTTGTATAAAGTAGTTTTCTTGTATGTAGTATTATTAGTCATAGTCGTTTTTTCCAAGTAGAATTGTGTAGTTTTTTTGTATTTCGTGGATTTTGCTATTTCTTAGATTTTATTATTAGTCATAGTCGTTTTTTCCAAGTAGATTTGTGTAGTTTTTTCGTATTTCGTGGATTTTGCTATTTCTTAGATTTTCTTATATGCATGCACTTCGTATTTGTAGATAGTATGGGTGAAAATAGGCCTCCTGGGGAACCGAACACCAAAAAAAAAAATCGGTAACGCGCCTTCATTGCAACCTCAGTGGTGGTGTGGAAAAGCAATAAGTTAAAAAAAATAAAGAATATCAATTTGAAATAAAAAATCCTTTTAAAGTATAAACCTTTATTTTATTAATAATCAATTATGGCAAGCGTTTCTAAGACATCATCATAACCATTCTACAAAACGGGATATTAAATAAATCTATGTATAAAGATATTAAACTATAATAATAATAATAATATTTTATCTTTTTATTTATTGGCCGTTCGTTTTACACAGTATTGTATATTTTTCGAGCTCAAGGCCACATGAAAATCGAAACAAAATTTTTGACATTGTCAATCAAACATTGTCAAATGTTCCTGAGGATGACTTCAGACTGAAGTCGAAATATCGGCAAATAAAAAACAAATGTAAAATCAAAAATTGACAATGTTTGATTGACAATGTCGATCAAACATTGTCAAATGTTCCTGAGGATGACTTCAGACTGAAGTCGAAATATCGGCAAATAAAAAACAAATGTAAAATCAAAAATTTTGTTTCGATTTTCATGTGGCCTTGAGCTCGAAAAATATACAATACTGTATAATAATAATATATTAATCAATTTACTATTCTTTTGATATATATTAACAGTTGGAAATCATTTATCGTGGTTTACGAAGATTCAGTTTTCTTACAACTACAAAATTTGAGGACTTTTCCACTGCTTACATATAGATGATTTCAAAAGTTGCGAAATTTGCA